TCTCTATCTATCTATCTATCTATCTATCTATATATATATATATATATATATGTATATATATATATATAAGTGTGTGTGTGTGTGTGTGTGTGTGTGTGTGCATATTCAAGGTACATCTATCTCATCTATTAGGTGACGTCTTCGCTTGCATTAATGGACTTGTGTTTATATCCATAAAGTGGAGTGATCAGTGTGTCTCGCTCATTTATAACTGCGTGATAAGCCATTTCTAACAGCATTAATTGGCACGGTAATTGTGCTTGCATTTCTCAACCCCTCCAGCTTTGATCAATTTCCGGTTGAAGTAACAGTTAGGTAGAAGTCATAAGGCGTAACTGCTTGATCGACATATCTCTGCACAAAAACTCCTTGCTTTTCCCAAGGCAAGGGATTATAATTTTGGTGCAAAGAAAACCCCCCCCCCCCAAAAAAAATTGAGGAAAAAAACTATTGAAATATTCCAATCACAAAGTGGACAGTGGAATTCACTTACTGGAAGCTTTAAAGCTTTAAGTTCGGAATTTTACTCATAGGTCTCGGAATGATAGTCCCATTATAGGCGGTACTACGACCTGATTAGAAAATCTGTTTAATGAGAGGAATACAGGGTGCCTATTGAAGACAGCTTAATTGTTCAAACATAGAGCACAGCTCCTTTGTCGAGTTCGTTCGAGGTGAAATGATGACAATAATGAAACACCAATTAAAGGTCACAAAACAGGTCCATTCACTCCTAAGTGGCGTTTGACAACAGTAAGAAAATGGGAGCACACCTTTTTGGAACTCAAGTTAAAGCATGATGAATCTCATAAGGCAGAATCTAATTACTCCAACTAACCGAAGCGTATTTTAAGGCAAATTAGAATAAAAAGTAAGCAAGAGAATGTTTTAACGATAACTGTCTAGTGAGACCTTCAAATTTGTAAATTTTCAAGATATTGTTGAAGTATGAAAAAATGAGCTCTAAGAGAGGACATTTGAGCGGGAGGTGGTGGAGGATTATTCCAGAAGTCTAATACTTACATGGAAGCAAAAAATCACAAATAGACGTGTGGATAATTTCAAATTCGTAAGGTTTTGGAATAGAGTCCTGAGCTACGTTGTTGAAAATACATCCACGCTCGATAGCTTCTAGTAGAATTTGGTAATTGGAGCTAACAATCATTCTTCTTCATCATGGAGCTGATGCTATAGTCACTTCTGCACCAAAAAACATGGTTATTGCAACTTCGCTTCCAGATGCACATCTCGGAACAATCATTCCAATACTGGAATTAGTCGTTGCAATCAGTGAATGTTAACCTCAAGACTTCGAATTGATAACTTCTGATAGGATCTACTTTCATACTACCACTAAGCCATTATAATTCACCACATATTATTTTTCCAAAATATACCTCTTATGTGAGGTAGCTATAGAGGTTGATATTTTATCAATTTGTAGTGAGAAAATTATTTATAATAAATTATAAAAATAACTAATTAGAAGTACCTTGATGGGTAAAATTATGTAAAGAAGTTAAGATGTTTGAATTTTTTATGTAAAATTGCGGATTTAATTTAATAAGGACAAATGAATTAATGAAATATTTCAAAAGGAATAATTTTCAAACATGCATAACTTACTACATAAAGACCACAATCATTATTATTCACTAATCTAATATTCCATTGTTAAAGCAACTAATAGAAGGAAGTAACTACAGTACCAAATAAATTAAAATTCATTTTACTTACTGTCATTTCGGAACTGGACGGTTTATACCGTGAAGTTGAGTGGCTGCCTATTTGGCTCTACCAATGATACGAAATAATGAGTTGACAAGTGTGATGGATCCATTTATTTTATTGCTGCCTCATGTGGCCTCTTAATGTTGGAGGTGTTGATTGGGCACACCTGGGCGGCCGATTAGACCATTGGCGCACGTGGGTTTTGGACCAATGAAATCACACACACTGCGATCTATTGTGCTTGAATAATGTCGCGAGAGAAGGAAAGAGGTAAAACCTTTTGAGTAAGCCCATTTTTTGGAAGTTAGTGAAATTTACTTAGAGACTGTCTGCGAAAATCTATTGCAAGAAACTTTAAGTTGATGAAATTTGCAAACAAAATTGTTGGGAATGAGGGAGAAATGGATGTAAATAGTTGTTATTATCCCATTGAACTGATATTTCGCTTTAGTAAGATTTGATGATTAGTCGTTGGCCTTTAAAAGCGTCTGCAATTATATTAACACTTAAAACAAAATTTACTCTTGCCATTCATTGATCTATTTTAAGCAAACTACTTAAATAAAAGCAACGAGACATGAGCTTCAAGTAAACTTTGGTGAATTTATTTCAGCCGCATTTCCACTTTTTTATTAGCTAGCAAACAATGCATTCTATTAAAAAATAACATCAAGTCGATTTAATGAGAAGTCGATCTATCACCCCCCATACTCTGTTGACATGCAATTTGCTTCCGTGAGTGTTTACTTGAAAAGAAAGTGAAATAGACTACCTAGGCTTGTCTATAACACCCAATTAGGGGTTTTAGAACAAATATCGATGCAATAGCTCGGCAAGTCAATAAGGCCAAATAGCAACGGCAACAGCAAAATTAAAGAACCTATAAAGTGGATATTGTCATTATTTGTGATGCCGGTCAGGGAGGGTTTGGGGGGGAGGGTTAATTAAGATCATTTAAAGCGGTTCATTTTCCAATAGTGTGATCACATTGGTAGGTCGACCGAGCATAAATGCCACCACTAGTTTATCAGGCATTTGCAAGGTGAATAAGGGGCGAAAAGTAAAAATATAAGTATAAATCCTAGGCGAGTAAAGACAATCCGATTGAGAGGAACAAACGTAGTATGGAAAAATGGGCTGTTGGCCAATTTTGCGTTCTGTGTTCAATGGAGAGTAATTTACAACTGGGGCAGAGTTAAGAGCGCAATAGATAAAGAAACTGAGCACAGCTATGAGCTGGAGCGCACAGATAATGCATCTTATTATGATTCTTTGAGAGTGATGATCGAAGTTTCCGAAGACAGCTAACTTGAGGCTTAACCGAATATTTCAGGAAAGCTCGTACCTTTGAGGATTATCTTGTTCAATCTCGGAACTGCATTACTTATCCGTAAACTGAAGTCTTCTGTCGTTAGCCACAGAGTAGACTTTCCATTTGTGTTGCCACAATTTGTTTCGTTAATCTCGTATTTTTCTGGTTTAAATACAGCTTGAGTTTGTGATTAGCCAGAAAATCTAGCCATTGAGTGATAAATTTTATTTCCTTAAATATTGAAAGCTAATACGTCTCCACTACCCCCCCCCC